ATTCGGCGTTTATCAGATTTTTGGGAATGATTTTTGGATAGTTTCTTCGGATCTGCCGGTCAGTATGTTGGAGTGCCAGAAGAAGCATAGTAGAGCTTGTTCTTGGCTTTGATAATTACATTATAGAGCTGTTTGCCTTTTGGAGATACGAGACGAGAACCCCAGCGTGTGTGCTTGGAATTGTAGTCTTCTGCTGCTATGAAGTTGTCTCCCCGTGATTTAAAAAACTACATTAACTCATCTTTCGTTATAGTGAAGCGAGGGGAGCAGTATACGGTGGCTAGGTTGTATATTTATCGATGTGGCCTGTATGTAGTTTTTAAGAAAATGGGTTATGATAGAGGTGCTTAATACGGCTTCTGATTAGGATTCCAGTCCCTCCATGTGCTTTATCGTCTATATGATTTGTGTGTTTCTAAAGCATTATGTCGATATAATTGTCGAGTAGGAATTGAGCTAACCAAAATTTATGCTCCGAAATGCCATAAGCGTTCCACTTAGATATCCGTAGGGAATTCATTATTTGGATTGTTGTGAAACCAGCATTTGAATTTTCTTTACCCATATAAAGAGAAATCGTTTAGCTCAGGTGCCCATAAAAATATAATCAAAATAAAAAAATTAATCTGTTCTTCAGATAAAAATCCAGTACCTTTTTACTCTGATATTCATTCTTTCCTTCATTCTTTCTCCTTACCGTCTACTTAACCTAAATCTTTACTCCTACTGGTTTTCTTAAATTCTAATCAGTTGAAATTAATTTGTTTTAACTACTAGATCTTTAATAAAGTTTGAATACAAAGACTAAGCAAAAAGAGGTAAATTTAGAAAGAATGTTTCGGAAGCTTTCATCGCGATAGATAAATAGTTATGTAGATTAATTATTCATACGCTTTCTTTTATAAAGCAGACAAGCAAGACAATATGGGTACTCACAAACCAATCTCTCGAAGTCAAAATAAAGTAATGTTGTCTCGCAAAACATGATGGCAACAAACGAGTTAGGCTCTATAAAAAAGGGTATGATTATGGGTCGGATACAGCAAAATTATTTAAGCAAAAAAATAAAAAAATATAAATATTCTGTTCTACTAAATGTTCCACGCTTATTCTGGCACCGATTCGATACGCTTTTTCCATCGTTGCGGTTGATATTGTTTCTTACATATTGTCACTGTGGGCGTGAGTGAGATTCCGGCTTTCCCTTGTACATGGCCAATGCGTGCTAATGTAGACATGAGGTTTGGCGTGAGAGAGTGAGGTTATAGAGACATTTGGTTTGGCGCGAAGAAGTGAAGGATTTCCCTGGCACTACCCTTTAAAATTCTTCTTAAAAGGCTTTTGTTATTCACCTAGCTTTTTGATATTTTCGGTTTGGGTTTGTGGAAAATCGCAGTGTTTGAATAGCTACGCAACTCCCGTAGTTTTTCGTTTTGCTATTGCTGTCACTTTTTCGAGAGCGGGAGCGGAGCCGTAGCAGAAAAATCAAAATTGTCTGCTCTGCTCTGCTCCGAGATACGAAAAGTTCAAAGCAATTCCTATATTGGCTCACCTGCTTTTAAGGGGAAGTTCTTTTGGATTTTTCCGAAAATTAAGCAAACTTTGAGAATGGATTGCGGGAAAATGAAAAGACATACGAACTTATGCTTTTGAACTTTTGATTCATTGTTTATTAACAATTAAAAAAATATTCAATATTTAGGAAATTCAAAATGGTGGCTTCAAAATGGCGGATCTCGTCAACCTCTATTTTTCTGCTTTGTCGAGTGTAGGGCCGCTGGTAGTGAACGGAAATTAGAAATGTATATAATTTATTAAAATTGATGGAATTTCTAATTGACAATTTTCTCTTTTTTTTTACTTTGATCTCGTTTAAAAATTATAAGTAAACAATTTTTATGCCAATTTTAGGTATAAGGCATACAAAAAAGTATGTACTTTTAAAAATTTTTTGAATGAAGGAAATCGGATCAATAGAACGAGCCCTGTGCGCGACAAGAGGTTTCGAAACATGGTTCCGAGAAAAACAGGTTTAAAGTTTTTAGAAACTTTGCCTTTAGATAGCTTTCTTGTTATCATGGGTATGTTTGAAACGCTCTAGCTCAAGAAATATGCGTCGCATCGAAATAATACAAAAAAAAAATCGATTTTTTCAAAAAAATCCAAAAGAACCTCCCCTTAATGCACCGTCACTGTGTGAATTTCCACTTCCTTTACCTCCTTTCCTCCCCCAAGTAGGAGAGTAGGAAAAATTTCGGCGAGCACAAAATGTTTGCCAAGATGCTCGTCTGTGAATGGGCCCCTTTACACATAAGAATGTAAAAAAATATTTGCAATATATATAAACAAATATTTTTTCAACCAAACTTCGCGCCTAAAAAAGTTTTGTAAAATAATTTAATTTAAAAAAAGCAAAAAACTTACAAGAAAACTAAAAAGATGCGATGCAAACGACTGGACAAGGCAAGATTAGTTTCCCGTTGCTTATCCACAACGGCAGTTTATTAAAACTTGGAGAGTGATCTTGCCATAGATACATTTCTGGCTGCTTCTTGGGACGTCGGGGACTTCTTGGGAAAGTGCCAAAAGATCCATTGCGATTTTGCGTGTTTTATTGGTGCCAACAACAAATTAAAAAGAGTTATCGATTAACTGATGATTAATTATTGATGTTCTGCATGTGGATGATACGCTGCCAATACGCTGCCTATGGATGATGTTTAGAGAAACGTACAGAAACAAATGCTTTATTTTTGATACGTTTAGAGAAACGTTTGGTTAACATTCTTTATTTTTGGGCACGGCTCCTTTTAGAGACTACAAAAACATACATTTTCCAATGACAATATGACCGTAAGAAAGAGATTAAATGCTTTTTGAACCCTGTCTCAAAAAATTTTTTCGTTCATTTTCGTTGTATGAAAAGAGTAGTATGTTGTACCCATACAGTTAAAAAAAAAATTTTCGTTAACTGTTTTTTACCTAGTTGCTTCCCGCTCACACCCATAGCTAGAAAACAGTTAATGTCGATCTGTCAATTTTTTTTTAAGCCTAATACTCTGACGACGAAAATCCGCTGTAACACGTGTGCTAGCGAAATCGCTCTTTAATTGGCTACCGAGCTAGTGTGACCAAAAAATTAAGGAAAAGGGTAATACTGAACAGCTGTTCTGTTTCTCTCTCTCTCTCTCTCTAATATTTCTCTTTAAATTTTCGCTCCATGTTTGGGGTGTCTAAATAAATCAAATGAATAATTTTACACCCCGAGATCAGCTGCTTACTTTTTTGATCCGGCAACGCCATTCAATTTGATAGCCATAATTTTCGTCGTCAGAGTGCCGGTAAAATCCAGGAGGTAAAACTTTCTTCTTCTTCCTTTTTCACACCGTTTTTTTATATGTTGTTCGGCAGAGTACTAGGCTTTAATGTAGAAAATCAATCTAAATGATTGCCAAAATTAGGTTTAGTTCAATGCAATGGAAATAAAAGATCTTATTAAATTAATTTGTAATTGCGGTAATTTGTGGGAAAAAAATATTTTGATGCCAATTTAATGGCACCAATTTCTTTTATTTGAACTAAAATCATTATTTAAAATTATTATTTATTTATTATTTCAATTATTGTTTATTTATTGATTTTACACAAAAGTAGATTAAAAATCTACAAAGGTCTTCTGTGATAACCGAAGATCTATTGAAATCAGTTGTTTCCAGCATTGACAATTTTTAAATTCAAATCAATTTCATGAGGGACCAAAGTGCAAACTTAAAAATATTCTGTCACGCTGGAAAGAATAAACGATTTTACTCGACATTTTTTCGATATGAATACTAGGCTTTTAGCCATAAAGAAAATATATTACGCAAATTGTGTAAAAAGAGTATTTTTGTGTAACTGGTGTTTCAAATATGTATTTGTGCGGCCACACTGCATTTCAGTCGGTACAGAATGTTGTGAAACATTGGTTTTTTTTCAATGTACATATATATTATTTGTTATTACAAAAAGATTTGTTTATGTACAGTGCAGCAAACCTGTGGTCAAAACATTGGGTAAATATTTGAAATAAGTAAATAATAACAGAAATACCTTATCGATATATGTACATACATACATCCATTAGCTTAAAAAATCAATGTTTTTATACCCTTGCAGAGGGTATTATAATTTTGGTCAAAAGTGTGCAACGCAGTGAAGGAGACATCTCCGACCCTATAAAGTATATATATTCTTGATCAGGATCACCTCCTGAGTTGATATGAGCATGTCCGTCTGTCCGTCTGTCCGTCTGTCCGTCTGTCCGTCTGTCCGTCTGTCTGTCCGTCTGTCTGTCTGTTTCTACGCGAACTAGTCTCTCAGTTTTGAAGCTATCGTCTTGAAACTTTGCACACACCCTTCTTTCCTTTGCACGCAGTATATAAGTCGGAACGGCCCGGATCGGCCGACTATATCCTATAGCTGCCATATAACTGATTGATCGGAAATGGTATAACTTTGGTGTTTTTAGAGTTAGAAAGTTCAAATTTGACATGAGAGCTATTTTTGGCAAAACATTACGTCATGCCAAATTTCATAAGGATCGGCCGACTATATCCTATAGCTGCCATATAACTGAACGATCGGAAATGACCCAACTTTCGTGTTTTTGAAGATAGAAAGCTGGAATTTAATACAGATTCTATTTTTAGTCAGTTGATCCAACCTACCAAATTTCATTAGGATCGGCCGACTATATCCCATAGCTGCCATATAACTGAACGATCGGAAATGGTATTTGGTAGAAATATCAACTTTCGTATTTTTAAAGATAGAAGTTTGGGACGTTTTTTAGATTTTGTATTGTAATAAATTGGATTATATATTCCTATTCCCATAAGGATCGGCCAACTATATCCGATGTTTGCGATATATATCCGGTTTTAACTGCAAGGGTATATAAACTTCGGCTCCGCCCGAAGTTAGCTTTCCTTTCTTGTTTCGTTTAAATGTAGTATAGAACTTGAATTTACAGTAGAATATGGTACATACTATCTATCTGTCTACCAAAAAGTAGAGCTCTACAACAAAAACACAAAATAAGAGCCGTCAGAAAGGACATTCGAAATTTGTATATACAGTACATATTTACATACATATAATACAAAATAATACAATAAAAAAAAAAAATAATAATAATACAATATTCTTATATTTATAAAGTAGTATTTTTACAAACTATGGCTCTGACCAATATTTCAAAAGTTATTTAAATTACAATTTTTAACAAGCGTTAATCGGAGCCTTGGAACATAAGGTAATGATCCATTGAGTTTTTTTTTTATTTTGTACTAATCTCCTACAAAAAAAATAACATCGGCCAACTATATCCGATGTTTGCGATATACATATATCCGGTTTTAACTGCAAGGGTATAGATAGCTTTCCTTTCTTGTTTTTCAATTTTTTTTGTAGCGTCTAAAAATTTAGGGAAATATGCATAGTTCTATCATACATTCTAGAATTCATTCTAACTCATTCATTTGGGTATTCCTCCCCCGAATGTTGTTCGAGTGAGAGTTTTTTCCGAAATATGTGTTTATTGTATTTATATGTACATAAGGTATGCGGAATGAAATACGAATAAAATTAAACGCGGTTGCAAAAAATTCCAATAGCCGACAGAGCAAAACAAAGAATGCAATAAATAGCGGTACTATTCCAGCCTGCACAGCAATAAAAATGAGCTTTCTAGTTAATGAGTAGTTGGGGTGATGTCTCTAAACCAGGGATCGGCACCCCAATACATTGATATGATTTTACCGCATTAGTGTTAGTAACGAATAGCAGAAAGTAGGCTGTGTGCATGACGTTTCACACATGTATACTGTGTGTGTGTGGCAGAGCTCGGGCAGAGAAATTTCCTATGCCCCCGAGATAGGGCCGTGCCGACCTCTGCTCTAAACACAGCAGAACGTCTATTTGCACATATGTATTGCGAAAATAACCCATCTCAGCTGAAAAATGAAATTTTCCATCACTTTTCTGCTATGGGATTTAAGAAAACTTTTATTTATAAAGTAATTTTGGATATTCAGAATGGGAAAAAAATGGAAAGATCCCGTGGATCCGGAAAAAATGTCCATTACAGCAGTCTCACGTAAGAGCCAAATTAAAGGCTGAAATTGTGGGTCACTCAGCCAAATCGTATCGTGCTAAAAAATACAATGTGAGCGACAAAACTGTTAAAAAGTATGTAAAAGACATGGGAGTGATCAAATGTTGCAGAAAAACCGTTCCTAAAATCACAGAAAAACAGAGAGAGACAATAAAAGTTCGGCTGCGTGCCCTCTCTAGAAATTTGTTTTCTGCAGGCAGCTCGAAAGTTTGCAAAATGGATGATGACACGTATTTCACAGTGGAGGGTCATAAATGGACTCCAAAACATTACTTTAAGCTTCCCGGTACTCAACCACCTGAAAATGTAACCCAGATTACAAAAACAAAGTTTCCTAAGAAGGTTTTACTGTGGCTCGCCATAAGCGAGCGTGGTATTAGCGAACCTGTCTTTTTTAAGGGAGGACTGGCTGTCAATGCCCAAATTTACAAGGACAATTGTCTTCCGGGGCTTAAGATTTTTATAGATAAGTGTCATGCAAGTGATAATACGGTGTTTTGGCCCGACTTAGCGTCTGCCCATTATGTCAGAACAACTCTGGAGGCTCTTGACCAGATGAACATTGAATTCGTACCTAAGCTGCAAAACCCTCCAAATGTGCCTCAGTTAAGGCCAATCGAAAGGTTTTGGGCAAATTTAAAAAGAAATATTTACAGCAAGGGATATAATTTAAAAAACATTGACTGTTTGATATTAAAAATCAAAAGAGAGCTTGCTAAAATCGATACAAATGGAATTCAGGAGGCTATGCGAAAAATACCCAAAAATATAAGGAAGGCTGATCGCAATGGTCATGAATATTTTTTTAAAAATATAATATAGTCTAATAAAAACCATATAACAAATTTAAGTTAGTCGGACTTATATTGTTTTTTATATTTGTATTTCAACAGTTGTTCGTATTTTATTCCGCATACCTTATGTATGTTTGGGGATATATATGAAAACCATACATACGAGGTGTGTTCAAAAAGTAAGGTGACTTTGTATATTCAAGAAAAACTATTAATTTATTTACAGTGGTGGAAAAATAATAGAAACGAATTTTTCCTTTGGGCTCAAATACGTATTTTTAATAAGAAACGTGGTAATGAGTGAAAAATATAATTTTTCTTAAACATATATATGTACATCTATCTTACATACTAGAAAACAGAAATCCATTTAACTTTATTCATTTAGCTAAAAATTAAAGTGAAGTTAAATTTAATGTTTTTGACCTGGAAATAAAAATAGAAACGAAATGACTAATCCTTCTAAATTTACTAGTTGAGAAAAATTTACCACGTATTCAGTATTCATTTTTTTCAAAATTGCAGCACACCTACGGGGTATAGACTCCACCAGATTGGACAAATTGCTTGCTAAATGGAGTACCACTCTTCCTGGACTTTCTCCAACAATTGCTTCTTATTTTTTGGTTGAAACCCATTTAAACGTTTTTTTAGGATGCCCTACAAATGCTCAATAGGGTTTAAGTCGGGTGACTGAGCTGACCAATCCATAACGTAGACTTTATTGTCCTGGAACCACTTTTTCGCAAGCTTGGATGTGTGTTTGGGATCGTTATTCGGCATAAATAGTCACTTCAAAGCAGAGGTCGGCACGGCCCTATCTCGGGGGCATAGGAAATTTCTCTGCCCGAGCTCTGCCGCACACACACAGTATAAATGTGTGAAACGTCATGCTCACTGCCTACTTTCTGCTATTCGTTACTAACACTAATGCGGTAAAATAATATCAATGTATCAATGTATAATATCAAATGCGTTTCCTCTTCGGCATGTGGTAACTTAACGTTAGGAAATTCTGCCGCAGCGCTGCCGGCACACTGACAGTGCGAGCATTCTCAATTTTTTTAGAAGCTCTCTCATTTGCTCTCATTGTGACTCATTTGACAGCCCAAATTTAAAATCAAAATGTTTCCACTGAGAAAAATTTTGTTCAGAAATTGGGTTGGAAAAAGTTTTCTTATTGGATAATGTAGATAGGGAAGCGTAGTTTTTCATTTGTTTAAGAAATGTTGCTACAAAAGATGTCTTTAAAATAAAATACACAATTTTAGTTCCCACTCAAACTTTTGAATAACGAAAAATGAAATAAAACAAGAAAGGAAAGCTAACTTCGGGCGGAGCCGAAGTTTATATACCCTTGCAGTTTAAACTGGATATATATCGCAAACATCGGATATAGTTGGCCGATCCTTATGGGAATATGAATATATAATCCAATTTATTACAATACAAAATCTAAAAAAAGTCTCAAGCTTCTATCTTCAAAAATACCAAAGTTGGTATTTCTACCAAAAACCATTTCCGATCGTTCAGTTATATGGCAGCTATAAGATATAGTCAGCCGATCGTTATGAAATTTGGTAGATCGGATTAACTGACCAAAAATAGAATGTGTACCAAGTGCCAGCTTTCTATCTTCAAAAACACGAAAGTTGGGTCATTTCCGATCGTTCAGTTATATGGCAGCTATAGGATATAGTCGGCCGATCCTTATGAAATTTGGCATGTCGTAATGTTTTGCCAAAAATAGCTCTCGTGTCAAATTTGAACTCTCTAACTCTAAAAACACCAAAGTTATACCATTTCCGATCAATCAGTTATATGGCAGCTATGGGATATAGTCGGCCGATCCCGGCCGTTCCGACTTATATACTGCGTGCAAAGGAAAGAAGGGTGTGTGCAAAGTTTCAAGTCGATAGCTTTAAAACTGAGAGACTAGTTCGCGTAGAAACAGACAGACAGACGGACAGACGGACCTGCTCATATCAACTCAGGAGGTGATCCTGATCAAGAATATATATACTTTATAGGGTCGGAGATGTCTCCTTCACTGCGTTGCACACTTTTGACCAAAATTATAATACCCTCTGCAAGGGTATAAAAATACGTTTTTTTCGCTCAGTGAATTCTCTACTCTCATTGTTTTTCTCCGCTACGCACACACTCAAATTTTAAACATGTGTTAGTTTTGCACCCCACTGCTCTAGCTCATAAAAGGAACTCTCCTTGCTGAATGCGCTTTCAAACTACGCTCAATCAGTCTTTTTCAAATGGTATGACTTGTTACGGATGCGTTCATATAGTTTTTAAGATCGTTCGAAGAAAGGAAAGGCTCTTTTTTCGACTTCCTCGTGTCGTGTCTAATTTTGTAGAAGTTGCTTCCTTTCTGCCACGTTTTTCCTGTTTATCTGTATAGTGGATAGCAGAAAACACTTTTTATTGAGCATTTCAATAGTTTGACAATTTGTTGCATGGATTGGACTTCTGCTTTTAATGTGAGGATTAGATTCCTCTCTACTACGGTGCAATTAGCTCTACGACCCATTTTGAAGCTTTTAACAAAATTAAATGATAAATTGTAGAAAAAATTGCTATAATAACACTCCTTGTTATAAAACTATTTAAAACAATACCTTTTATTTTAATTTAAACGAATAATAACCACAGATTTGAAAAAAATACGACCGCCTTTTTATTATTTTTTCCAACCCAAACACGAGGTCTTCTGACGAATTTCCTTGAAAAACCAAAATTGCGGATGAAAAGCGTTCAAAAAGAAGGTCGTGACCAAGTATCGTTATCCACGTTAGTAACACAGTGGATTTCATAAATATTTCTAAAGCTTAAACTTAAAAAAAAAGCCTTTGAGTGAAATAGAAGTATTCGTTTCTATTATTTTTTCCATCACTGTATTTATATTTATGTTGTCCCCTTCAAAGTAATCCCCCTCAGATACAATAAGCTTATGTCTACGGTTTTTCCCCTCCTCAAAGCACTTCCCATAAACAGTTTTCGGTATAGCGTTGAGCTCTTGGCTAGAGAACACACTGCTTTGCACACTATTGCACAAAACCCCTCTGCAAGGGTATAAAAATCATAAGAAACCATGTACAATTTGAAGACATGCTCATATCAACTGCTAAGTTCAATAATACGACTTGCCAAATTTTATAAGGATCGGCCGACTGTATCCTATAGCTGCCATATAACTGAACGATCGGAAATGGTTTTTGGTAGAAATACCAACTTTGGTCTTCTTGAAGATAGAAGTCTAATTATGTATTATAATACATAAATTGGGTTATATTATGATATTCTCATAAGGATCGGCCAACTATATCCGATTTTTGCGATATATATCCGGTTTTAAATGCAAGGGTATATTGGCTCCAGCTCCGCCCGAAGTAAGCTTTCCTTCCATGTTTTTTTTTAGTTTTTCTCTTATTCCACTCTTTTTGAGGGTGGCAGGTATGATCTGCACAAGCGACCTAACAATACTCGGGTGTTTTCATCTTAAAACACACAGGCACAAAATCACGAGTGCAAGATAGGAAAAACACACTTTGTACTCATACAAAAATTGTCGGTATTACCTTTTGTGTTAGTAATGGCGAGTGGTACTCTCGCTAAGCATAGGGTGTCGAAAAGTGTCACCCGTGCCAGTCTCTGGTGCGGATGTTGTTCGTTTCTTAGCGTTTCTGTTTAATTTAAATTTTATCAGCTAAATGTTTTTGGATTTATACATAAATTTGTATGCCCATGTCGGAGTGTCACAAAGAGAGCGGGTTAATTTTAAACACGTTATTCTCAAAACTGAAAGTCTTCTTGAAAATGTATAAACTCTCTTTTCATACTTTTTTTTGACAAATTAATGAAAAATTGCAGTCAAAAACGGTTTTTTTTTAAGTTTTTAAAGGGTTTTTTCAAAAATGGGAATTTTTTAAATCTTCCAAACTGACAAAATCACATTTTTTTTACGATGTTTCTTATAACGACAGGCTATTATTTTCTTTAAAGTAGCTTCTTCCAAACCAAATAATACTTAAAACTTACAAGTTGTAAGACGTTTTAAGTTATCTTCGTAGGATTATTCTACAACTGCCGATTTTTTGGGACGCGGGACTGCTCACTTGTTCTATACCGTTGTACCTCAAACTTCAGTTACTTCTGAGTGCAATAAAAGCCCCATATGATATAAAAAAAACAGCTTTTTTGCAAGATACCAATTTCTAGGGATTTGTGAGAACTACATTTATTCTTAACCACTTTTACGATTGGTCCAATATTTTGAGACTTTTTACGTTAAACGCAGTTGACTTGATTATTGTTATTATAGCCCTTTGGTCTATAATGTTATACCCTTTTGGTCTAAAATGTGCTTCGTAGTGAAGGAGTCATTTCCTACCTAACAAAATATATTCATGGATATAACATGTCCGTCTGTCTGTCTGCTTGCACGTGAACTAGTGCTTTAGCTAATAGCTAATAGCTTTAAAACTTAAAGCTATCAAACTTTACACACACCCTTTTTTTCTTTGCTCGCAGTACCTTTACGAGTCTTTTCCTTTATGAAATTGCTTTTATAACCAAATTTTCATAATGGTCATAATATTCGAAATTGGCGATGTATATGGATCTTAACTGCAAGGGTATATCAACTTCGGCTTCGTCCGAAATTAGCTTTTTTATACCCTTGCAGAGGGTATTATAATTTTGTCCAAAAGTGTGCAATGCAGTGAAGGAGACATCTCCGACCCTATAAAGTATATATATTCTTGATCAGGATCACCTCCTGAGTTGATATGAGCATGTCCGTCTGTCCGTCTGTATGTCTGTTTCTATGCGAACTAGTCTCTCAGTTTTGAAGCTATCGTCTTGAAACTTTGCACACACCCTTCTTTCCTTTGCACGCAGTATATAAGTCGGAACGACCGGGATCGGCCGACTTTATCCTACAGCTGTCATATAACTGATTGAGCGGAAATGGTATAACTTTGGTGTATTTAGAGTTAGAGAGTTCAAATATTACTATTTAAGCTATTTTTGGCAAAATAATACGACATGCCAAATTCCATAAGGATCGGTCGACTATATCTTATAGCTGCCATATAACTGAACGATCGGATGTAACCCAACTTTCGTGTTTTTGAAGATAGAAAGATGGAACTTAGTACAGATTCTATTTTTGGCCAGTTGATCCATCCTACCGAATTTCATTAGGATCGGCCTATAGCTGCCATATAACTGAACGATCGGAAATGGTATTTGGTAGAAATATAAACTTTTGTGTTTTTGAAAATAGAAGCTTGGGACATTTTTTTTAGATTTTTTTATTTTAGTTAATTGGTTTTATTATGATGTAATCATAAGGATCGGCCAACTATATCCGATGTTTGCGATATATATCCGGTTTTAACTGCAAGGGTATATCAACTTCGGCTCCGCCCGAAGTTAGCTTTCCTTTCTTGTTTTAATATAAAGTTCTTTTGTTTTAATATTTATATATATTTTTATATTTTTTATTTTCAGCTTTTTATTGAAATCTTAATAACAAAGCTGAATAGCCATATTCCCCGAAAGCCGAAGAATCTGACTTATACAGACTCTACTCGAACATTATTAAACGGTTTCAGAGAGAGATTGCAGCAAAACTTTTTCTTACTTTTTACAACTTATCCTTTAAATAACGTAAAATGTATGCTTTAATGTAACTATTATTGATTTTAGTTTGTTTGTGTTTGATGTAAAAATGAATTTGTCACATAGAACAATTATAGTCACAATTGACAACAAAAAAATAAAGTTACGGATTTTGTAAACTATTTTCGACCCTTTGTCTTGAGTCATGTACGACCCTATTAAGTATATACATTCTGGAACTCTAAGCTAAAACTACCATTTTATATAGTTCTTATTTACTTTAATATTGGATTGTTATATTTTTCATATTGATTAATAAAAACTAAAGTAAACACAAATACCAAACAAAGCATTGGGTTTTGTTTGCCATTTATATTTGTAAATGTTTTGCCTTGTTTGCCTTCAATTTATATCAGGGAGAAAAGCTCGAACAAACCAAATTGTTGCATTGGTCGGAAATGGTAACAATTTTTATTTTGCTCCCGAAAATCCAATTTCGGCTAATTTACAAAGCGCTCAACAGGCCCCAGAACAGCCACATAGCAAAACGGAAACTATGATGCTTACCCTCCAACAAAGTATGATGACGCTTAAGTAATTCATGAAAACGACCATTCAAACACTTATTTAAAACCAGAACATGGTAATTCAGACTAAGAATAATAATGTGGTAAATCAATGGTGACTCTTGGTAAACCGTATTGACGTTATGCTAGTGGTGGAAACGCATCTTAAAAGCAAATAAAACTTGCAAATAAGAGGCTATACAGGATGTATAGATCATCAGAATGGCAAAGCCCACGGCGGAATCTGAGTACCAATCAGATCATCAAATCAAGCATCATTTTCACAAAAGTTTTGTAACCAAACTTCTATGTCACTTCCACAAATTCAGTCAAGTAACGGAAGCCTTTCAATATGTGCCGTTTACTGTTCTCGCTTCTTAATCTAGAAATGACAATTTATGGACTTCTTCATGGGAATCGTTTTGTAGCCGCAGGAGACTACAACTATCCCGAAACTGAAACTATCTGGTTTAAATAATTGCTCGAGAGCTTTATATGGAATCGGACATCAACAGATGTCCAACAGACCAATAAGCCTTCTATCTTGTTTGTCTTAATTGTTTAAAAATGCTTGCTAGCTCGCATAATACCATATCTGGAAGTTTGCAATATTATCCTGGTACACCAATTTGGCGAGAAGAATTCTAGCTTCGAAAAGAGAGAATACTGTAGCACTATTTTCTCAACGTATCTAAAGCGATAGACCGAATTTGGCTTAATGGACACATGCACCAAATTGAAACGTATTTATATTTAACAAACATACACCCACAAACTACTTCAGTCGTACATCTACAATAGGGTATTCTCAGTGAGATTCAAAGCAGCAACTTCGGGCGATTTCCTAAACTTGTATGTATATATGTTCTATAAAACATGTTCTACTGTGAATATTTCTTCGAACGAACTACAATTTCAACATTTGCCAACGAGATAATCGGTATGCATAACACCCAAGCTAACGAAGTAACATACCTTGGCATCCACCTCGATAGGTGACTAACCTGGCGAAAGCACATCGAACGCAAGAAGATGTACCTAAAACAGGGGTAGCCATTCCGATTGCTTTCGTTCCTGTTTTTTTGTTTGGTTGCTTTTGGGAAATGCAAAGTCATATACATGTGTGGCTCCCAGAATAGGGAAAAGGGAATCACAAAAACAAATTTGCGGGCTTTTCTATTCTCCTAAATCGTGCTAATCCGAATTTATTTTTATTGTTTGATTGCCGACGCTTTACTGGAAGAAATACGTTCTGGTTTTTGTTTCTGCCAAAATGGTCGACTTAAAGCGACGAATTTAATTTTCGCAGAAAATTTTTTATTAGAAAGCTATGCGATATTTGCGATACAAAAATAATCCGTGTCAAAAATTAGGGCCTTTTTGTCTTTATTTTTGTTCATAAATAAATGTATTTGCAAATGTAAATAACCTGCAAATTTATCGCCACTGTGCCTGGACTTCAAGGTACTACTCTACAATTCAGGGACGTCATTATGTTAGTTAAGCTAAAAATTTAAGTTAAAAAAAAAAAATTGATGTCAGGTATTATGGGGTCAGCAAGAAGATTTGTCCAATTGATCGGAAAATGCCAAAAACTTTGGCTCAGCGGAATAAATCCTATTTAATTTCTTTGGAATTTGAAAGGTTTTTAAACATATATTTACTGTAATTTTGGTTCAATTACTGCACCTATGTAGTTAAAAAATTCGTCCAGCCATTATGGCTTTATGAAGAGTAGCACCAAAACTTTTAGATTACTTTTATTGTTATTGATGACTTTTGAAAGGTCTAAATGGATTTCAGTAAAGCATGGACTATGTTAACCACTAACTATTTTTGAGTAAACTCATTTTTTTAGAATTCCCAACTGATCTCCCTACTTTAATTTTGGATAGGTGTAATTTTGGTAAGTGGGTAGCTGCAATAACATATCTTACACCTTACATCCTGTTGGGTCCGGCAGCAGCCGCTGTTTTAGTTAAACGTTTATTTATTAGGCGGTTACGTTTTATATTATTATGTACAAATCGCTCAGTTTCTAAAAGTCTAAGCCTCTAGGAATCATGTGGCAGGGCGAATGTTGACATTTTAAGGTTAAAATTGCACCAAACCACTAGTGTTATCTGTGACACCTATGATAAATGATAAACAAAAAGAATGCCCAGCTTTAAAATCTGTTGGGCATGAAAGAAGCAATGTAAACATTTTCCACGATCTATACCATCGCTTGCAGCTCTAATCGGTTGAATCCGTGCAGTTGTATATATTACAGGGAATATTTGCGATGGCGCAATCCGGCAATCCAGCAACGATAGTTGCATACCTCCAGGTGGCCTCGAGGGGCGAAATGAATGGGCTGTCAATACCCATCAAGCAGCCTTTAACCTTCGAACGAAACTTAAACGGTACCCACTCTTTCACCGCTCCGTGGAGAGGGCTGTCGGCGGCTGGTGTTCGCGGAATGGCGACGTATCTGCCCGATGATTTTCCAAGAAGTTTAGCCCGTCTTTTTTATTTAATTCATAAACTATATCCGCGGGCTGACATTACGGGTCCCGGACCGGAGAAGTTTCTATCTTTTCTTAATAACGGGTAATTACGACGTGACAGGGTAATAATCGGAGACTTCCGTATTGCTTCAATTGGCTTCAATAAAGTTTACAATTTAAGGCGTACTCCCCCCTTTCATCCGCAATAAGCTGTTGAAGCGCTTCCACGTGATCGAGGCTGGAATTGGGAAAGTTTTCGCCAACCCGTCAACAAACGAAATACAATTTCACATCTACTAGCCAATAGAAGCATTCAATGAGAACGAAAACCTTCGTTCACTGTCTCCACGCGTCCATCGGGGGCACCACAAGGATACCAGATGGACACAACTCCACTCCCTTATCGGCGGCGGAGCGTTCCTTAAAAGCCCCGCGAACGCTCCGAATTTTGCTCCCGAGTCAGGCTGTCTCAGATCAAAATTAGCGGCTCCACCAACTAAAACACCTGTCCTTGCTGCACTCGGAGTTCGTTAAAGCAGGGAGCCAGTCGTTAAAACCAAAGGGTAAATAGTAACGGGCCACGATAACTTCCTTGATGGAAGTCCCATGTAGCACTAACCAAGCAGGAATGTATATTTTTAAATGAGGCTGTTTGTGTTCTTTCATCTAAGTAGGAAGATTTCCACGTAAGGAGGTCTGTAGGAAATCCCAGCATATAGGTTTCTTACCACACAGACGGGTATTCCATCGGGGCCTGGCGAATAAACGGGTTTGCCCCTTAGAAAATCAGATAATAAGATCTTTTCGTAGAAAGATGGACAGAAAATAAAATTTGCTGATATGTAGATATGTTGAAAAATCTAAGCTTCTGCAAGTTTTTTCTAAGATGATATTTACATCGGTGCATACCAGAATATCGGACCATTCAAATGTATCGATGAGGCTATTAAGTTTGTGAAAATCGGCTTTACGGAAACAGCGAATCGTATTTGCCACGCATGAAAACTTCTGATCGATACCAGAAATGGTTTCGATTGAAACCTCAAGCGTGGGGTGATATGGATCCTCTGGGGTTGAAAGGGGAAAAGCTCTTGAAAGAGTGGTACCATCAGGATCAGATACAAAACATATGTCTAAAAGCCGACCTAACGAAGTTTTAACATGGTTAATTTGACATAGGGACATATCAAACTTGCCTGCGGTGAAGTCTAACCTGGACTGCTAAAACTCGGTTGGGGATCATTTTATAGCTGCTAAAGACTACCTCTAAACATACGCACAAGGGTTCAAGTCTCCTGACTCCCAAAGGAAGAAAATTGTACAATGCATGGAGGTCAGCTCCCAGTATGGAGGCCACCTTCAATGCTCCGCGTTCTTATGGGGGGTCTTACTCGGCGGCCAGTGGATAGAGGTTATTGAAGACTTCAAAAAGTTTGTGTTAATACTAATGGTGGTGCCTTGTAGTAAGTTGTTTAGTTAGATGTGATTTTATGATTAACATATTGTTAAGTGCCATGTGTATCAGATGTTTTATTGGCGGAAAATAAATTTGTTTTTTTCTATTATACTTCTTTTTAGGTATCTATTTAAAATAACTTACTCGGAATGCATTTTAATTGTGTAATTATTAATGTGCTTTTATGGGCGTCTATGTGCTCTTCAAACGATCCATACAATGCTCTTGGTCTAAAAAACATTGCCACTTCAGAGGAAATACGGTTAGCTTATAGGCAACTAGCAAAAGAATGGTATGTCAATATCATAATAAATAATTATACCAAAATTAAAAAAAAAAACATATATTTTTGGTAATTGAAAAATTCTACTTTTCAGGCATCCAGATAAAAGTCAAACTACTGACGGAGCGGAAAAATTTTTTAAGATTAAGTCGGCCTATGAACTTCTAACCGACACAGAACGTCGACGAATTTATGACCTATATGGGATTACAGATGAAAATTCCCATTATTTACAAAAAAAATATGATTATAGTGAATACAACCGGTTTTCAAACGATCAATTTGATGACATTTTTTTGGGAAACCAATTTCCAATTGGTCAAGATATTGGGCTATTCCATAAACTATCGGTTACTGCAAACTATTTTGAGAAGATTATTTTACCCAATTCTGAAAAGAAGGTTTACTTAATTTTGTTTTATAATGACTGGTGCTTTCGATGTATTAAAATAGTTGAAGCTTTTAAAAAACTAAAAGACCTTTTAGAACCATTAGGTAAGATTAATTTTGTTTTTTTTTTTAATATTCTAATTTTGCTTTCTTTAGGTATAAATTTTGCAACAATTAATGCTGTTTATGAACCATCAACATTCCGTAAAACTGGATCGGATGGAGTTCCAAAGTTAATTGTCGTTTTGAAAAGAAATTTTTTTATTTTTCGGGACGATGCCCTAACGCCGCCAAAAGTTGTAGGTAAGTTGTTATTATTTCTTTATTATATATATCTATTATTAATTATTTATTATTATTATTATTTATTATTTATATATGTATTTATTTATTATTATTATTTTTATTATTATATATATGTACATTTTTATTATTATCATTATTATACCCTTGCATAGGGTATTATAATTTTGGTCAAAAGTGTGCAACGCAGTGAAGGAGACATCTCCGACCCTATAAAGAATATATGTATATTCTTTCTGCCATATAAATGATTGATTGGAAAAGGTATAACTTTGGTGTTTTTAGAGTTAGAGAGTTCAAATTTTACATGAGCAATGTTGGCAAAATAATACGACATGCCAAATTTCAAATGCATCGGCCGACTATATCCTATAGCTGCCATATAACTGAACGATCGGAAATAACCTAACTTTCGTGTTTTTCAAAGATAGAAAGCTGGAACTTAGTACAGATTGTCGTGCCGTCTAAGACGAAATGAAGTCGTTAATGAGACACACTAAAAATGAATTTACAGAAGTAATCACTGGTTTTTAAAGCCGGAAATCTTTAGCTCCGAAGTTTTTCCAAATAGGTACCTTATTTTAAGCGGGATGGCGAAGTGGGTGGAGTCCTCATTTCGGTAGACCTCAAACTTGCTTCTGAAGAGGTGAAATCACAAGAGTTTGGTGCCATAGAATTTATTTGCATCAAAATCATTTTGTCCGCTAAAAATTCATACACTTCATGTTCATATATACCGCCTTCGTCTGAACCGCCCACATATTGGCATCATTTGTACGCTATACCGCGGTCGTCGATCGTGACTGATATCTCAGAATTAAAGTTGTCCAATGACGATAACTCACCATCTTTATCACTTATTACGCACTATGTCTTCAATGCGGGCATGTTTGTCAGTTTTTAGACTTATTTTTTGTATCTGATCCTTATAGTACCACTCTTTCCAGAGCTTTGCCCCTTTCAACCCCAGGGGATCCATATCACCCCACGCTTGAGGTTTCAATTGAAACCATTTCTGGTATCGATCAGAAGTTTCCATGCGTGGCTGATTTTTACTAGCTTAATAGCCTTATCGATACATATGATTGGTCCGATATTCTGACATGCATCGATCTAACTGTTACCTTAGAAAATGTCAAACTTAGAAAAATGTGTGCCATGAAATAACCCGTCCGCTTCAAAAAATCATCCTTGGTTTACAAGGTGCCTTACAAACTTAAAATATACTAAAAAAAGGCTCTTAATTAAATATAAAAAAAACCTGCAGTAGTATAGATTTTTCAAGATATATACTAGCTCGGTCAAATTTTACCGTGCATAACGCAGAATATTACAAGAATTGTATTCGCCGCTGACGGATACAATTTACTCAGGATCAAAAGCAGTTTTCTAACTTTCTATTCACTAAGCGTAAACATGTATATTTTCCACCTCTGCTTACGGTTAAGAGTTAATCTGCAACCTCTTACAATTGCCGATCTATTCCCAAAATTTTTTAAACTACTTATTATCCGCCTAAATCGACAGATCAGCCTTCGATACATATTAGAGGTCTGCATGATTGCACTCAAAATTTTCGGTTATTTGAGTACAATAAGTTTAAGTCGCAATTGAGCGTGCCAAACCGTTTCAACAAAGTGAATTGCGGTTTGGTAAGGGTTGTTTTCGTTGTATGCGAAATGAGTGAAATTCAAACCAATGTGGAATGGATAGAATGAGTGAATGCAGAGTAAATGCTTCGAGTACTCGGATAAAATTTTGGCATTTTCGTCATTCATGGCAGGTGCTAAGGAGCAGAAGCTAAAACCAGTTGCACAATTTTTTGTATACCTGCAAGCAGCTACCTGCAAAGAGCCTTTTCAGATGCTAGAAATTTAATTTCTGAAAAGCGATGTATTATTGCTAACAATGCAGATACAATAAAAAAAATTATGTTTTTGCATTCTGTTATGAAAAATTAAATAAATGACATATATATGTATATATAATAATTAATCCATGCCTTTCTATTTTTCTATTTCTTGTATTGAAAAGCAACACAACAACAAAAACAAAAAATTATTTTGACGTCACAAATGCGACGCACAACTAACCGAGTACTCGGTTACAAAACTCATTTGGTTATTGCGCCGTCGTTCGGATAGTGTACATTTTTTACTCATGCCTTTACCACATTTGCCAAATCCGTTTTACTCAATGTCTCACTCAGTCAGTCAGAACTTTGAGTGAGAGTGCCAAATGCTGCTTTGACTGTATTCATGCAGACCTCTAATACATATGACAACATTCAATCAGCAAATCTTGTGTTCTGTCCGTTTTTCTCCGGGACTAGCTTTTTATCTGATCTTTTAAGGGTCGAACCCGTTTATAAGCCAAGCCCCGATGGAGTATACATATATATATATACATACGTGTGGACGTGGCAAAATTTTGACACAAACTTTATCTGATAAAAAAGGTTATTGAACCATCGTTGCATGCAGACGTGTATTTATTGTGCTCTGGGAGAAAGTATTCAATAAAATTAATAAAACAATAAAGACGCTTTCTACGATGAAATACCGAATTTTTATATTGATTAGTTAATTAAATAATGTAACACCTAACGCTTAAAACTCTAATTAACTGAACCTTAATTACAATGAGACTATACGACGTTCGCACACAGCGTCAACGCGAGCAAGACGAGAGACGGCTCTCAATACAAAGAAACAACGAGAACTTTACTTTTAAAGAACCCGAAAATTAAAGCTGCAAAAAAATCGATAGTACCATCGATAATATCGATGGTTGGCCGCCGGTCATCGACTTCGATATTTTTCAGACTATCACCATAGTTTTACAAAAAATTCCCATCACTTGGACTTTGAACGAACAAGAAGGTACGCATATTTTGCTCACAAAAAAAATGTAATATATACTAATTTTCTCTAGTTTCTAGTCTCTAACAACTTGTGACACAAACTGTTATTTATCAACAAAAATTGGTTTTTAATCAAAGAAATGTGATTTAATTTCTCCTTCCAAATATGAATTAAAAAAAAATCTCATTTGAATTTAAACTAAATGCGTTTTTAATTAAAACAGGGGTATTCATATAAAACCAATATAATAGGGGTATTCCCTAAAAAAAAATTATATTAAGTATGTTGGTTTTACATGAATACCTCTAATGTTTTTATATGAGTGATAGTATCGAGGTTTAGTCCCCAAACTATCAAAACTATCGATGGGGCTACCATCGATATTTTTGCAGCTATACCGAAAATATTGCAAGCTCTGATCAAGCGCGGTCAATTATCCCCAACTTAACCGAGTTCTTAAACATAGAGAGCGAGAGAGCGCGCTCTTGCTCCCTCTCGCTACCATCGATGTCTCTGCAGCCAAAGCGCGCAGTAATTAGCACCACAATTTCTTTAACAACGTCAACCGTAACAACAACAACTACCGCACTGTATCGACAGCGCGATTAACATCATTAGCTAGCAGCGCAAATATTAATACGTCTACCGCTGCGCTGAAAAACAGAACAAAAACAATGAATATATTAAGCCGACTGTGCAGACTGGTAGAGAAAAAGAAGCCAAAGTCTCCGCCTATTTATATACGAGAAAAATTTCCAATTTCCAAGAATCTGGCAACTCTGTAAGCTCTGTACTCAACGAGAACACAACATATTATCGACGAGTAAAAAGTGAAATTTTTAGTCGAAAGGTAAAAAAAGTTAAATCGCATAAATCATGTCGTTGATTTTCGAAAAGATGCCGGCTGATGATGATTTGATCCAATCGATACTTGATCAACAGCAAGCATTTACAAGGGACATTGTGGAACAGCAACATAAATGGATACAAGCAATGATGGATAGAAACGCTTCTCCAGGGCAGGGTGATTCAAGCCACACGTGTGTGTGCACACAGGTGAATTATCTGAGTGAACTTACTGTTACCGCCGTCATAGAGTTAAGTTTATATTTGAAAAATGAAATCGTTAGAATTAGTGTTGAATAATGTTTAGAATATGATATGAAAAAATGGCGGAAGAACGAGGGGTCTGCGACCGCTAGGTGAAGCTAAGGAGGCGAGGGTAAACGACGAAGTTTTTTTTAGCGCGCGAGTTACCAGTTGAAAATACGTGCTTCTAATTTGGTCGTATATTAAAGAGTGAAAAAGCTTTATTTCCTAGAATTATATGTATCTGCTTAAACTAAGAGGTGCGCTTTTGATCCCGTTACAGAGAGCGAGAGAGTGAGAATCGGAGAACATGTCTCCGATCTATCCATGAGCCTTGTACTCTTGTTCCATTTGTTCGGTGGCTGGTAGCGACGGGGGTAAAGAGGCAGGGTAGGGTGCTCTATGTAACTCCTCCCCCACCCGGTCCGAAGTGACGGCCGTACTGGTGGTACTGACGACGCGTAGCACAAGGATTGGTTGCACATTGACGGTGTGTTGTGTACGTCGCGGAACAGGGTGTATCCCCATACAATTATTGATTTAAACAATAGTGATAATGGTAATTTTACCGGTCTTTCAGAATTTGGAAATGGCTTGTGCATCAATAAGAGCATCAGCTAGCATTCCTGTATTCATCATAAAGCTTAGAGGCCCAGACGACCGAGGGGCGCTCAAGAAACGATTTGTTAGGATATTAAGTTATTTGTTAATTATTAAGCTAAGAGGAGTTAGTAAGGAAATTTAAAATTCTATATTTTAAGTTAGAGGGACAGGAAAGAGATGTAATAGAGTAGAGACCATTGTAGTTCGAACATAATACCCTAAAAGGGTCATGCAGTGCATATGTCGAACTACAACGGCTAAGGAACAGAGGACTAAAGTTTCGAGTCCTTCTATTAGGAATGTTAAAATTTAAGCGTGTTAGTAAATGCTGGCTATCTACATCCCCGTTAATAAGGTTATGCAGAAAAACTACACCGAGCATTGTCCTACGATTTGTTAAGCTAGGTAAGTTTATGAGTAAGAGTCTACTACTATAAGATGGAA